GTTAGCTAGCGTGCATAGAAATTCCATCGCCTTTCGCAGTTGAGAAGTTTCAAGTATATTGCTATAAATCGGCGCAAATAATTTCGGGACACCCTGTATAACGTTCTTCGGCTCCAATCAGTGGAGTGTCCGTCCTCCGACTGTGTGCAGGCACAAACCTAGATGACAACTGAAAATAAACAGCAATTTTTCTCAGTGTGATAGTCGAAATGCCTCACGCTGAATGATAAAAAAGAGCTACTCTTGTTCTTCGGTGAACGTTTTCTCCTGTGTTATTTAATACAGCAGATTAAACCTGATTTGGCTCACAAATATCTTTGTTATCTTAATATACAGACTACGGAGAACTCCAAAAATACCCTTCGTTATGGTTTTGCCACTTCTCTGCTCAAATAAGCGATAGAGGGTGCAAAGTTCTTTCCTTTGTTTGTAATCCGAAATAATATTCTAAACCTTTGTTTGAAATCGAAACCAATAAAATTATCAAAGTTAAATCATCAAATCTAAACAGATTCATACTGATATATAGATTTCTTCTCTGGTCCAGATTGTCCTGGATGCTCCCGTAAGTATTGTATTTATAACAAAGGGAGGGGGTGGTTGGCGGTAGTCAGTTCTTACATGGTATTTCACTCACTAGGTCTTCTCGGAGAAATTGTGTCTACAAAGTGAACTCGCAGTCATGTGATTATCTTACGAAAGAAATACTCTTGTTGGCATCTTTCATAGTCCACGACNTTTTTTTCAGTACACAGAAGCAAGCTAGGATTCGTTAGAGGAAAACTGGTTTGCCCAGTTGTTGTTACTTAAATTTGAAAGCAAAACGTCGCTGAATTAGTTTACGACTTGTCATCTGTCCTCTGATGGAAGAGTGTATTCGATTAAAGGAATATGGGTACATCATGATCAGTATTTCATTTGGAGTTCAATCTGTGCAGGACCTTGTGCTTTACCTGGTTGAAGACCGCTTCCACAATGACCATAAAGAAATGGATAGTAGGATCAAGCAACTGAGAAGGATTCGATGGAATGTAGCGATTAGACAGATAAAGCTCGTTGAATCCCTATAGCGACGTACATATTGATTTGTTGCACATTCTTTACTAAAGTTTTGAGTGAAAGGAACGTGTGCTTCGTGTCGCTCGAACAAGCATTCCCTACTACACTACCCTAACAGCGACAAGGACGAATGGAGACAACACTGAAGCTCTTCAAGGAAATCGACAAACAGCAAGGCGATAGATGATACTGTGTTTCATTATGTGTTCAAGATTCTAACTCCAGAAATGTAAATAATTATGCAGCAGACAAACCACGCACTGACATCCGTGTATGGATTCCGTATAAATTTTTATCTGATCGTTATCCACCGGCAACTTTTTCTCTGTTGCTTATTTCCACAATTCATTACATCATGGCACATACAATTTCCTATAAAAGCACTTGTCAGCACAATGATGCGCTGAAATCAGCTGTCAGCTGGATTTCATAGTACCTGCCCTAAGACATGTTTCTGTATTTACTTTCAATTGTACGTTTTGATTTCACGATTTATTTGAATAACTCTCTTTGAGCAAGACAACTCAGCAGAGTTTCAGGTCCTGTTAACGGATGCCCTTCCTCCAGGATATATAGGTTGCTTTGAATCCATTTCGTCCCAAAACCATTAGACATTGAACATTCATTTCAGGGAACACTCTTCTAGCACGGCAGCCAGAGGTCCACTCAGTGGTTTCATATTTGTCTAGTGCCAGAAATGTTTTGCTTTCCGATAATCATTTTTCTGGATGTCTTGATGCTACTTTTGCAATACAGTTTTTTTTAGTCTCGACCCTTCATTCGCAACTGCGGCAATGGATGTACTGAATACAAATTGCTCATCGTCACCGATCTCGATAGGGCTTCAAAAGCTGGTAATTGGACATGGAGAGCTATTACCCGGCAAGGTCTTCTGAAGTTGGATATTCATCCTAAGCCTCACGTGAGCATAAAGTGGGAAACAGACAGAAACTTGACGTCGTAAGTATATTATTGAATATTGATTTTTTCGTCATGGGAATGGAGCTACGGGATAGTGTGGAGCATTAGGGGAAGTAGACCGCTGCCCGCAGGCCGAGAAAAGTAAGCATCACGAG